ACAAACAATAGCCGATAGACTCTTGCATAATACTCTAAATTACTTTGAGCAAAATTGGCGAAAGAATGACCTACTTTGTGAACTTGATCGTTATTACATACATGATGGAAATAGACCTAAGTACCTCTCATATGTAAACATTTATTTTAAAAATAAGGATGTAATCAGGCCACCTACTGTTAGACCTTAAAACCCTACACTAGTTAGAGTCTAAAAACAATACATTTAAGAGGGTATTTTATGTAAAATGAATTTGATTAGCCTCTAACTAGTGAAATGTGTTGTTTGTATTATGGAACTGACTTAAGTAATGCAAAACACAGAATGTAACTGTGGATACATACATGGACATTGCCCTGAAAGGGGTCGGAGCAAGTGCGGTTTACTCCGACCCTCATGTCGTATGAACACCAACATTCACAGACGACAAAACACAGTCCGGAAAGAAGGAAGAGGTCCCCACGAACCTGACCCTCATAGGTCATAAAGACCTAAATTCCGATCCAGAGAGAGGTTTGAAATAATTTCGTGACAATTTTTATATCCTGTTTTGTTAATATTTCTTTTCAGGTGCCTTGAGGTTTGGGAGTCGTTCATCTATTGTGCTCGTCCATCGAAGCGAGTAGATCAAGGTATTATACTGTACTAAAGCGAGGCAGGATACATAATTAAGGCCTCACTCTCTATCACCGATAGGCCGAGACAACGTTTGTTGTAACGTCGTACTTTTATTGTAACAGCCGGTGTCATGTAAATATTTTTCTAGAATATGCTTGTTATGAAATAGTAATACTTAGTAAATCTCTTAACAATTTAACGCTGAATCATTAAGATATATCTTTACTGTCGTTTAATATTATCCGTGTTGCACTAGCGGAACAATGTTTAGGTTTTATTTTTGGACTAATTAAGACTTTGTAAAACGTTAAGCAGGATGTTTAAAATGAGGTTGAAAGCAGTAGCTGTATTAAAATCCGTTTAATTTCTGACAATCACAAACATTTCTAAACGACATACTTCATCACACCAGAAAATAAACAAAATACGGAACGGACAGTTTTCATTCATTCGTTTAATCCTATAATCATCGACATCGTTGGGTCTTTAAACAATTTATGCACAAAATTCCTTGTGGGTCCATGAATTTGCGGATACACGGTCCTCAATGCCATGAGTCACACACATTTTGTTTTAATTGATTGTTTTGTTTGTTTTTTGAATTTCGCGCAAAGCTACACGAGGGCTATGTGCGCTAGCCGTCCCTAATTTAGCAGTGTAAGACTAGAGGGAAGGCAGCTAGTCATCACCACCCACCGCCAACTCTTGGGCTACTCTTTTACCAACGAATAGTGGGATTGACCGTCACATTATAATGCCCTCATGGCTGAAAGTGTGAGCATGTTTGGTGGGACAGGGATTCGAACCCGCGATCCTCAGATTACGAGTCGAGCGCCTTAACCACCTGGCCATGCCGGGCCTTGTTTTAATGATAGCAATATTGATTCAGAAGCGTAACGCAGAATGTGTGGGCCCCTCTTGCGAATTTTCCCACATCTGAAGACAGATCGATGTAGTATGTTGTTTATTATTAGATAGTTAGATCACACAGTCTCCTAATTGGTTGTGCGCTAGCTGTGATTATAAGTGAGACTTGCCCCTCTCCTCCTTAACAAAATTTTTTTTCTTCGAAAGAATTAAAAATGTTGTATTATAATTTTTCGATTACATGTTATTCGAAGAATTGCGAATCACGAAAAAGTTTTTTGTATTGAAACACAAAACAGTTACTGCTTCTGAACATGGGCGCCCGCAGGAAAGGGCAACAAGAGGGGGGCATTTGGCCCTTTTACATTTCACAAAAGAATTGCACGTATCATGATGTAAACTTAACATCGTAGTTAAACTAAATATTTTAGTAATTGTTATTAAAACTGTAAATTTGTGTTTGCGTTTAAGCACACATAACACATATTTCAATCCGTTGACTTGCATTGTAAAAGCCGATCCCCTACATACATGTTTCCCCCACACTCACCGAAAATATTTCTGTGGGCGCCCGTGCTTCTGAAAACAAACGTGAAAAATTTTATACAAAAAAAAAACAACTTTCGTTTGGCTAGAATTTAATTCACAGTTTTATTATTAGAAACAATACCTACACATAGAAGTATCTTTTACATAGAAGTTCATCTCCTACAACAGCTCTTTTCGATGTTGTGAGACGTGTTAATATAATATATATTTAGATATATAAATCAAACATTATAAAAGTAAAAGAAACAACTATATAAATGTTCACACTAGAGGAAGTATCTATATCAAATTCACAAAACTTTCCAAAATTCATTACATGTTTGAAACTATAAATAACGAAAGTATACACACACACGTGCTCGAACACTACTAATAGTAAAAACAGACCATGTCAGAAATCGATATTGAGAACTGACTTTTAAATATTCATTTTATTTAATTGATAGAGAACAAAATGTTGTTTCCCTATACAACTAATGAAGTGGAATAATTGAAGTTAATAATAGTTTTTCTTTTGTTATTATTAAGCTCAAAGCTTAATTATGGACTATTTGTGCTGTACACTCTGTGAGCATTGAAACCCGATTTTTAGCATCATAACCCGTCAGACTTCCTGCCGAGTCATCACGGTGAGGTTTGGTTTTTGATTGTCAAGTACAAAGCTATACAATGAGCCATCTGTGCTTTGCGCACCACGAGTATGGAAACCAAATTTTTAGCGATATGAGCCTCCAAACTTACTGCTGAGCCACCGAGGATCGCATTATTTTTTCTGCTAGAGAACATAGTAAATAGTTAAAACAAATATATATATTTTTTCTGCTAAAATCCACAGATAAAGTTAGAATCTCGGTATAGGATAAATATGCCCTTGAAATCATTAAAACATATAATGCAAAATACGTATACAAATGAACAAGCTAAAATATTCCAAAGAAAACAAAAAACAATTCTTACATAATTTTTACTCAAACCATCATATATATATATATATATATTTGTTTGTATTTTATTTGTAAATTTACTAAGGTTACTAGTTTACTACTACTGACTTAAGGTTACGTTCAAATGTAAAACTGTAATTATAT